GGGATCCAAGAGACCACAAAATTGAAAGGGATCCACTGTTGATCAAACTAGCACAAGATATGTCCAAGCTTGCAAACACTATTGAAAGTCTCCGCTCTGACAAGCCACAATCTCTTGCTTTAGTGGCTATAAGTTGTTGGGTTTGCAGCTCTCTGATACACACAACTCAGAACTAAGGAAGAGAAGGGAAATATAAGAAAAGAGACCTCTACTCAAATACATACAACCCCAGTTATAGAGATCACTCAAACTTTAAATGGGGAGGAGGAACGAATAGACCAAATCAGTTCCAAAGCAATCAATGTCACCATGCTAGAGCTTCCTTAAACAATCTTCAAGATCCTTCAAAAGTAGTAGTGACAACTCCACAAAATGCTATGGTATCTCAACCACTGCTAAAAAGCGATGACACTTCTCAACTCTTAAACAGTATAGGTACATAGATGATAAATATCGAAGGACGAATGAAGGAGAGTGATGACAAATTCCTCTCCATAACTACCATCTTCTAAGGGATGTAAAAGGATAACTCATATGTGAACAAGAAATTAGAGGAGCTTACTTTAAAGAACACCGATATCACTAATCATTTGACCCAACTGTCTAACGTGGTCAATGACATACAAGCTAAGAGTGGGGGAAGCATTCCTTCTAATACAGTGATCAACCCAAAAGGCCTCAATGCCATAACCCTAAGAAGTGGTAGAAAGGTTCATTTTGAAGGTGAAAGAACTGATAGGGCTGAAAGTGATCAAGATGTAGGAAGCCCTCTACTTTCCCCAATGAGGCTTAGCAAGTCTAAAAGCTCAAAGGAAGAAGAGCTCATGAAGAGGGCAAGAGCACAAATTGATCTAGAAGAGGAGTTAACTCAAGTATAAGACTAAGTACCTTAAGAAGCTATGCCGGAAGATGAAAACAATATAGAGAGCTTAGCTTATAAAGGCAAACAAAAAAAGACAAGATAGAAACAAGCATGCAAGGAGCCTCTAAGCCTTCAGGTAAAGAGTTTGATGTGCTAAAGATCTTCCTTTTCCTAAAGCCTATTTCATTGGTAAGAAAAAGTTTGATGTTGAGTTTGCCACTGATGCTTACACTCTATTTAACAAACTAAAATTAATATGCCCACAATTCAATTCTTCAGAAGAAACCCTAAATACTTTAAATTATTAAAAGAATTGTGTAATGATAAGCAAAGGTCTAAACCTCATGAGAGAATTTAGGTTAGTGCCAATGTGTCATCTTTATTTAAAGCTGAACTAGCGGTTAAGTACCAAGATCCTGGATCTTACACTATCCCATGTACCATAGGAAAGGTTCACATTAAGGGAGCATTGTTGGATTTAGGAGTTGCTATAAATGTCATGCCTTGGTTGGTTTATTTAGCTTTAGGGATAAATGGCATCAAAGAGATAAGTGTAGTACTCCAACTGGCAAATAGGTCTATCAGGTATCCCAAGGGAATCATAGAGGACATTTTGGTTCAAGTAAAGACCTAGTGTTTCCTACTGATTTCTATTTTCTAGACATGTCAAATGAACTTGTAAATGAGAGTACTTTGATTTTGGGAAGATCTTTTCTGCAAACTTCCAAAACTATCATAAGCATGAAGCATAGCTGTATAACAATGGAATTAGGAGATCGGTTGTAACTTTTAATATGAATAAAGCTATGCGTTAACCCTTTGATAATTCTGTATTCATGGGTTTAAATGTCATTGATTTAACTGTTGAGCAAGCTAGGGATGAGCATGAGCTGAATATGCATGATGGTTATGACATGTGTTTACCCAAATTGATTAATTCTTTTGCTGCACCATCATATGAATCTTATGAGCTTGACTCGTCTTTGAGTACATATAATGAATATTTCAATACCCTCTCTTCTATTTATTCACTTTCTAGCTCTTGTGGAGATGAGGTGCTATGCATTAATTCTTTAGAAATTGATAGCATGCTATCCATTTCTCAAGATTTTTCTTTTACATTAAGTTTTGATTCCATTTTTGCGTTCATAAATGATATTAGCCTTGAAAAGGTTTGTTAGCAAATGATATAGGTGTTCAATATGTGTTTGGTGCTGAGAGTAGAGCAAAATTCGAGGATATGAGCCCCTATGACATGAGGGTTCTCAAATTGTGACTTCAGACCAAACCTGTCAAAAGGGTGGTCTCTGTAAAGTGAGGTCATGACTTAGAGATATGAGGTCGCGGCCTAAGCCCCTTATTTCACCTCCTAAATTTTAGACTTCAATTGCTTCACCATGTCATGTCTTGAAGACTTTGGTTAAAAGGCTAACACTTTCTGACTCAATTGTTACTCATACACACTCCAAAATTACACCCCATAACTTGTGATTTTTGAATGATCTAATCTCTAACAATGATGTAGGTATGGAGATGAACCAATCCAAGGTTGCTGCTGCTGTTGACCAACTCGAGCTTGGTACAACATCTGATAGGACTGAGGCAAGTATAGTAGATCCAAGTGAAGTTGGCAAGTGCATTTCACAAGAGTCGACAAAGGGGAGTTTCTCTAACTCTGCTGATATTTCCACTCTAATTTCCTTTATTGTTCAACCCCCAACTTTAGAACTAAAAGACCTACCTCCCAACCTCAACTATGCTTATCTTGAGTCTAAGAATAAATTAACTGTCATTATTTCTAGTTCATTAGCTAAACATGAAGAGACTAGTTTAATGAGAGTCCTCAGAAGAAATAGGGAGGCTTTAGGTTGGCAACTAGCTGACATTAAGGGAATTGACTCTACTGTGTGTACCCATATGATTTTACTAACTAAGGATTCTAAGCTAGTTAAACAAAGCTAGAGGAGGTTGAATCCTCTAATCTCTAATGTGGTTAGGAAAGAAGTAGACAAACTTCTGAGGGCTGGAATTATATACACTATATTTGATAGCGAGTGGGTGTCACTGGTATAAGTCGTGCCGAAAAAGAGTGGGATTACCATAGTAAAAAATGAGAACAATAAACTCATCCCAACTAGGATGCAAAATTCATAGAGAGTTTGCATTGACTATAGGAAGCTGAACAAGTCCACTAGGAAAGACCACTTTCCCTTACCCTTTATTGACCAAATGCTTGAACAGTTAGCAGGGAAGAGTCATTACTATTTCTTAGATGGGTACTCTGGATATTTTCAAATTCCTACCCTAGAGACCAAGACAAGACCACCCTCACCTATCCATTTGGAACCTATACTTGCAAGATAATGCCTTTTGGTCTTTATAATGCCCCTGGCACATTCCAATATTATATGTTATCTATTTTTGCTGAATTTATTGAAAAGCGCATGGATGTGTTTATAGATGATTTTACTGTTTATGGCAATTCTTTTGAAGAATGTTTGAAAAGTCTTGACAAAATCTTAGCATGATGTATTAAGAAAAAGCTGGTTTTGAATTATGAAAAATGTCATTTCATGGTTAATCAAGGCATCGTGCTAGGTCATTTGATCTCTGAAAAAGGAATTAAGGTAGATAAAGCCAAGGTATAGGTGATATCTTCTTTGCCCTACCCTACCAACTTGAAAAAGTTGAGGTCCTTTTTAGGACATATGGGGTTCTATAGAAGGTTCATCAAAGATTTCAGTAAAATTGCTTTACGTCTATCCAAACTACTACAAAAAGATGTTGATTTTCAAGTTAACCATTCATGTGAGCTTGCTTTTGATGAATTGAGGAATAGGCTAGTTACTCCTCCTATTTTGATCTCTCCCAACTAGGATTTGCCTTTCAAAATTTCTTATGATGCTTCGAACTTGAGTGTGGGGGCAATATTGGGTCAAAGGGAGAATTTTGTTTCTAAGGTAATTGCCTATGCTTCTAAAACTTGAGATGCAGCTTAAAGAAACTACACCACTACTGAGAAGGAATTGTTTGCAACTATTTTTGTGCTTGATAAGTTTAGACCCTATCTCATAAATTCCAAGGTGGTTGTGTTTACAGATCATGCAGCAGTGAAATATCTCTTCCACAAACCTCAATCAAAGTTGAGGCTCTTGAGGTAGATGTTACTGCTTCCAGAATTTGACATGGAAGTGAAAGATAGAGCCGACAATATTAACCATGTAGCAGATCACTTGAGCAAGCTATCACTAGAGATGAAGGGAGTATTAAATTCTCATATTATCTGTGATTCATTCCCTGACCAATTTTTATGTGCATTGTCTGTGTTCTCAACCATGGTTTGCTCACTTAGTTAACTATCTTGCTACTAGTCTAATCCTTTTGCACCTAACTACTTTTTAGGCTCAAAAGCTTAAGAATGAAGCCTCTTACTATATTTGGGATCTACCGCACCTATGGAGATTATACGCTAACCAAGTGATTAGACGATAATCCCTAAAGTATAGGCTCGAGCCATTCTAGAAACCTGTCATGATAACTCATGTGGGGGGCACTTCAGTGCTAGAAAAATAGTTACAAAGGTATTAGATGCAGGTTTTTACTGGCCTACCCTGTTTAGAGATGCATAACTTATTGTAAGGCATATGATAAATGCCAATAATTTGGGGGGGTTAGTGGAAGGAATGAAATGCCACAGCAACCTATCTTGTTTTCTGAGATCTTTGATACTTAGGGAATAGATTTTATGGGCCCCTTCCCACCTTCGCACGATTACACCTACATCCTTTTCACTGTAGATTACCTTTCTATGTGGGTAGAAGCCATCCCCACACGAAAGGATGATGCACCTATGGTTTCTCAATTTCTAAAGTCTACCATCTTCAATAGATTTGGAGTACCTAGGGTGTTAATCAATGATCAGGGAACCCACTTCAGTAACAAGTTGCTTAATAACTTGTTGGCAAAATATGGGGTTTCCCACAGAGTGTCCACCTCGTACCAACCTCAGACCAATAGCCTAATTGAGGTGTCAAATCGAGAGATTAAACACATCCTGGAATGTATTGTCAAGACCTCTAACAGAGACTAGAGCTTGAGACTAGATGATGCACTGTGGACCTACCGCATTGTTAACAAGATGCCAATAGGAATGTCTCTATGCCGGATCATCTATGGGAAGTCCTGTCACATTCTAGTGGAGCTGGAGCATAGATCATACTGGGCAATTAAGAGCTGCAATGCTGATTTAGAGGAAGCTAGCCTGAACCAACCCCTTCAGGTTCAAGAACTTGAAGAAATGTGGTTAAACGCCTACCACAGCTCTGACATTTACAAGCAGAAAACTAAGCTTGTCTATGAAGCCAATATCTTGAGAAAGAAGTTTAAGGAGGGTGATAAGGTGTTAAGATACCAAGCTTGGTTCAGATTCAAGAAGGGTAAATCCAAGACGAGCTCAGATAGACCTTCTACTATCATGAAAGTGCATGAATTTGGGATGATAGAGCTAAAGGAGGAGGCCATAGGAAAAATGTTCCAATGCAACGGTCATCTCCTTAAGCTCTATGAAGAGCCCATACCGCCTTCTTAAAGCCAAGTCGTCCCTTTTCTTTACCTCTTACTATTCCATGAATTTACTTGTACTTAAATTATCTTGCTGTGACTGTTCGAGACTGTGAAGGGGATGTTGTTAGTAGAAGTAGTTTTAAATTATGTTATTTTGCTTGTTTTGAATAATCTTCCCTAGCCTTGAGTTTGATATGATTGTGATTTTGCTACTTTTTTGTCACCACCACACACATAATCGCATTCTTGAGTTTTTCCATCCTTGCACTTAGCTCTTTTCTTCTCTCTAGATGGGTAATGTGTAGTGCTTCAATCCTGAATTGAACTTCACAACTTCTACCTTCTTTATTTTTGTTTTTTTATTTTTGAGCTTTGTGTTTTGGTTTGTGACTACGTGTTGCAATAAGACATTACTTTGAGTGTGTAAGGGAGGGAGGTTTTGTTAGATTTAAGGTTTTGATGATAACAATTTAAAAAATCTGTTTTTTAGTAAGTTGATCGATTACCTGATTGATTAAGGATTTATCTATCACATGATAGATAAAGTTCCTGTGTAAACAAATAACTTATCAGAAATGTTAATCGATAACTTGATAGATAAATCAATTTGTATGTGTTGATCGATCAATTGATCGATCATTGTTAACACTGTTTTGTATAGAAGTTTACAGAAAGTTATTAATCAACTGATTGATAATCTGGCGATCGAACAACTAACAGATAATGGGACACAATTTATGGTAAGTATTTATTAATCACATGATCGATAAGTATGTTATCAATGAGAAGACATATAAATGGTAAAGCTTCCTACTCTCGTTGTATTTTGTTTTAATCACCATTATTGATCACTTTATCAATCATAACTTTATCGATAACTTGTTTTGTTATTGTATAATAACTTACCTGCTTATTGATATTTTTCTTCTTTTTAAGTGCTTTTGAAAAATAATTTATCGATCAACGGTTTATCGATCAAATGATTGATCATCACTTTTTCACTGGTTTAAACTGTTTAAGTCTTTCTTGAATCACTTGATCAATCATTGATTTATTGATAAAATGATCGATCATCCAATCTTCTGAATATGTTTACCCATAACATGATTGATCAAACTTGCTCCTGGCATTTCAGAACTGAGCTTCTTGACTACTTTGTTATCAATCACCTGATTGATCAATCTTTGACTAATCACTTGATCATTTTAGGATTTGTGCTCGTCATGAAAATCTTTGTTAAACCTCGTTTTATCAGTCTTTGTCATCTATTTATCGATAAAGTATTCGATCAATGTACCTTGAAAATCAAATTCTCTCTTGATAAATTAATCAATCAAACATTTTTCGATCACTTATTTGATCAATGATCCAATTCTTTCAATACCAGAAGCTACGGTGAGATTTAAGAATCTTCTGAATATCTCTCTTTGAGCTTTTCTCAGCTTTGCTGATTATCTTAATACTCTATTTTAAGAGTTTCAAAATCATAGGTGACCTTGAGCCTTTTCTCTACATAATCTTTCTAAAGTCATTCTTTTCATTTATTGATCACTTGATCAATCATGAATTAATCTATAACTTGATCGATAAATATAGTTATCTGTTTCAAAATCTTTCATCTTAATTAATCGATAACGTAATCAATAAACCAGTTATCAATCATGTCTTCGATTAAGGATGATCAGTTCACAGTTATTGGATTTGATGTTTGATTGATTTCCTTCACTTCTACCATATGAATATTACTATCATTTTATCAGTTATCTTCCTGAATTTCATTCTGAAGGAAAAACTTATTAGATTGAAGTATTGTTATAGATTACAAGGAAAGTTCAACAACTATCCAAAGGTCATTCAGTATCCTGTAACCTACCATGTCAGAAGCATTAAATGGCAAACACCGTTGTAGCTAGGAAAACACGCAACCAAACTCTCAATAGTTAGAAGCTCTTCCATCTAACGATTATTAAACTTCTGCAACTATTGAATGCGAAGATTAATACGTGAGCTACCTTCTGCAAATATTTTACTGTTGCAGTCAATATTCTGTTTTCGTCTTTAATGAGCTTCAGTGTTTCTAATTCATTTACTCTGTGAGAGAGACTAACATATCATCTTTAATCACTTTCTGAATGTAACTCAAGAGTGTGGACTCTTGAGTGGGTTTATAACCTTATGGGTAGTAAGGGGGAGTAATTAAGAAGATCAATTGTTGTACTAAGGCACAAGAGCCCGGTTAATCTTGGATCATAGTGGAAATCTCATAGGTGTTCTAATGACTGGACGTAGGTCAACTGGTTAAGACCAAACTAGTATAAATCCGGCGTCTTTGACCTACGGTGAAATCTTTCTAACTCGAAAGCTCTTCGTTTTATTAATTTTATTGTTTCAATTCGGTTAAAATTTTTATAACTCACCCAATTCACCCCCTTTTTGGGTGAGACTACCACTAACATTTGGCATCAGAACAGGTCTCTTGACTAAAGACTTAACAGTCTGAAGAGAGATCTATGGTAGGTTCTAAAGATAGTGTGCTACTCGTAGGATGTTCAACATCTGAGCCTCCTAGTTTCAACAGAGAAAACTACACCTTTTGGAAGATGAGGATGAAGATCTTTATCAAAGCTACTGAGTATGGTTTATGGGATGTGATTGAACACAGCAACTATGTTCCAATGAAAACCAAAGACGGTCAACAAATTTGTAAGAATTCGAGGGAGTTTGATGAAGAAGACAAGAGGCTAGTGGCATTAAATGATAAAGCTATCAACATACTAACCTGTGCACTTAGCCAAAAAGAGTATTTTCGAGTTTCAAGCCTGGAAACTACAAAAGAAATGTGGGAGGTACTGGAGATTGCTCACAAAGGAACAACCGGCGTAAATAGAGCAGAACCAACACTTTCATCACAGAGTTTGAATTGTTCAGGATGAAGGACAGAGAAAGCATCCAGGATATGGAAGTCAAATTTTCACACCCCATCAATCATCTCACTGTACTCGGAAAGAAGTATAGTCAAGAGGACCAGGTGAGAAAAATCTTAAGTGGCCTCACAAAAGAATGGGAGCCGAAAGTAACAGCTATAGAGGAAACGAAGGGAGAGTCAATTGGCTCTATCGCAGCTCTGTTTGGGAGTCTAGTAGAGTATGAGAACAAATAGAAATACAAAAAGGAAATGAATGAGAAGAATCGCAAAGGCATCACTCTTAAAACACAAGAGCGTAAAGATGAAGACAAAAAGGATATGGAAGATGATGAAATGGGTCTTATAGTAAGAAGCTTCAAGAAATTCTATAGAAATAAAGCTGGAAGGAGGTTTCAATCAAAATGCAAAACCTCCACATCTCAAAATGAGCCAAAGGATCCAATCATTTACTTCGAATGCAAAAAACCGAGACACATCAAAGTAGAGTGTCCTCAGCTATCCAAAATGAAGGATAAAGAAAAGAAGAAAGAAAAGTTCAGGAAAAAAAAAGCCTTTATCACATCAATCTGGGGAGATAGTTCCTTAGAGGAAGAAGAAAGCGACGATGAAGAAACAGCCAACATCTATCTCGTGGCTTAGGAAGATGAAGATTCAGAGACAGATGAGGTAATCACTTTTGAACCCTCCTATGATAAACAACAATCTGAATACAATGCATTACATTCTGAATTAGTAAGAATTGCAAAGGAATTGGTAAGCTCCAAGAAAAAAATAAAGCTTCTAGAGGAACAACAAGTGAAGCAAAAAGATAGCACAACTCCACCTCCAGTATGTACGAAATGTGAGAAAAACAGAAGAAAGGCTGAGGACCTCACAAGAGCCTTGGAAAAATTCACTCAAGGTAGTGAAATGCTCAAAGTGATTCTGGGAGCCCAATAGTGTTCAATGGATAAAATCAGAATAGGATATGATCCTGTTCAAGATAAGAGGAAAGGAAAGAAGAAAAGTGGTGGTCGATCGTATCTTACCTTCTTTAGAAATACTATTCATTCCTCTAATCCTTTCACATTATGTTCGTATTGTAACCGTAAAGGTCACACAACTTCTTCTTATTATCACAAGAAGAAAGGAACCCACAGGACATTAAAATGGGTACCCAAAGGTACTTATGTACCTAAGACAATCCATACTAACCAAAAAGGACCCAAGAAGGTATGGGTACATAAAACATGATTATGTTGTTGTAGGTGTGTCTCAAAGCATCAAGAACAAAAAAAATGGTACATCGACAGTGGTTGCTCAAGACATATGATGGGTGATCAAGACATATGACGGGTGATACTGAGAAGTTCATATCACTCAAACCAAGAGAAGGGGGCAAAGTAAGCTTTGGTGGCAATCAATCTAGAAGAATTGCTGGAATCAGAGAACTAGGAAGTGACAAAGGCATGAAGGTTGAAGATGTGTACTCTATAGAAGGCTTGTGTCACAATCTACTCAATGTCAGTCAGAGTATAGACAAAAACAACTGGGTAATCTTCAATTCAGAGGAATGCCTAGTGATAAGCAAAGATGACTTACCACTGAAGAAGGAGGAATTGAAAGTAAAGTTAAGAGCTCCAAGGGATAGTAATTGTTATACTATTCAAATTGATTCAAAACTTTCTAAAAATTGTTTTATTAGCAAAAAGGAGGAAAGTTGGCTTTAGCATAAATGACTTGCACATGTTAACATGAATCAACTTTCAAAATTAACAAAAAGGGACTTGGTCATTGGTTTACCTAAAATTCAATATGAACATGATATTATTTGTGATTCTTATCAGAAGGGTAAATAAACAAAGTCCTCATTTAAATCAAAGAAGATAGTCTCAACTGAAAGCCCACTCCAAATGCTTCATATGGATTTGGCTGGTCTGTTAAGAGTCAAAAGTTTTGGTGGAAACCTGTATACTCTTGTGATAGTTGATGACAATTCGAGATTCACTTGGACTCTGTTTCTTTACTCTAAAGATGAGACGTTTAATGGATTTATCATTTTTGCCAAAAAAGGTCCAAAATGAGAAAGGTATTTCTATTGTGTCAATCAGGTCTGACCCTTGAGGAGAATTTGAGAACAATGAATTCGCGGACTATTGTGATAAGCATGGGATTGATCACAACTTCTTAGCACCGAGAACTTCTCAACAAAATGGAGTTGTGGAAAGAAAGAACAGAGTGCTCACGGAAATGGCAAGAGCAATGTTGAATGAGAAAGGGATTTCACAAGTGTTCTGGGCCGAAGCAATGAGCACGGATTGCTACATCTCCAATAGAGCTTACATCAGAACACTGCTCAGGAAAACTCCGTATGAACTATATAAAGGAAGGAAGCCTAACCTGGCTCATCTAAAGTGCTACATCCACAACAACAACAACAAGAAAAATCTCGGTAATTGATCCTATAGGTAATAAAGGTTCATTCATTGGTTACTCGAATCATGGTAAAGCTTATAGAGTTTTCAACAAATGTACATTCACTATTGAAGAGTCAATCCATGTTGTGTTTGCTGAAACTGAATCAACTAGTACAAGGCCCGTGCATGTAATATGGTCTATTACCATATAAAAAATCAAATGAAAATAAAATGGTTAGCCATTTGAAAGATATTGGATGCAATAGTGTCATATGATAATATGACAGTTGATAATTACAAAGAAAAAATATAATATTTGAGTCTGATATGATATTGTCTTATTTAATAATTACAAGGAAAGATGTATAGACAAAGAAAAGCTAATGCATGAAAGAACGTTTGATTCCTTTTCATCAACATAGGAAATGGAAAGATACACAATACTTGGTGTTCTCCATCCTATCACCTCCCACTTATTTCCTTTAAATGATAAAAAAATAAGAAACAAACCATTGTCAATGTAGAGATTAGTCACCCAACACTCCATTATAAATAATATAATAATTAGCCCTAATCATATTAGACAATTGTATAGGCCAATAGCATACTTTATATGAAATTATTACTTATACTGGAAGTACAGACATATGATATAGAATGAAATGTGTGTTTCCATGAAATTTGAACAAATATTTAAGTAGCATATTAAATAAAAATATGAAGTGAAAATACCCCATTTAAATGATATCTAAATTTTCATTGTTAATATCATCATATTAATATAAAAAACAAAGTAATAGCAAAAGAACAACATGGATATGAATCTGAAGATATTATCACTTTTAAAGTTTCAATGTACCTACCAGCTCAAAGGGAGAAAGTCATAATCACTACACATTCACAAAATATTGCATATATGAAATGGTTACCTACTACATATATGTTTGTATATGCATAAGCATGGATCAATACTGACCTAGGTGACTCTCAATTCAAAAGGTTACAGAAGACTTCCTTATAAACAACATTTGAAGTTTTATTAGTGGGCGTGCCTTTGTCATCAAGGAGGAATATTTTTAAACCTTCCCGTCGCCACAGTCGTGAGATAGCAACGTATAATTGACCATGTGTAAAGACAGGATGAGGCAGAAATAATCCTATATTGAGAAGACCTTGACCTTTACTCTTGTTTATAGTCATTACAAAAGATAGCATTATAGGAAACTGTCTTCTACATAGAGTAAAAGGCAAAGACGTCTTAGATGGTGTGATGGTTAAGTGTGGAATCAAGACATGCACGCCAGTATTACTTCCTGTGATAATCTCAGCTCCTATCACATGTTTCTCCAAATGTGTGACAATTAACTTAGTCCCATTACAAAGACCTATAGATTTATCAATATTTTGCATCAACATTATAGGAGCACCAACTTTTAGGCTTAGCTTGTGATTTGGCAATCCAGACATTGTGATTGTATTTAAGAATCCAACTGAGTGTATTTCTGCAATGGAACTGTTGGCACCATCTGATTTGCAAACATTGTCAGCACTAAGATAATTGAATTCCTCACCTGGTAGCTTTGCAAGCATATAACTATTCAATTCATAAACAACAAATAATATAGTTGTTAGGATAGTACGATCCCTGAAGTAAGACCCATTGCCTAGGCGGTCAACCAAACTTGGATATGTACTGTCAATAATGCAATCCATAGGGTTCCCTAATGGAAACAATAACAAATCTCTAGGTATGGTAATAACATCTTCTGTGTCAGGTTCAATGTCAACATTTCCATCTCCAATAGAAATAATCCATTCTGAAAATTTTGTTACTGTATCTACATCATCTGTGTAATGACCTTTGGTTAGTCTCATGTTTTTAGTCAGTGTGAAGACAGTGCATTCATTCCACAAGTATGAAGCATTAATAGTAGCAAAGACAATGTCTTCACACCCACCTTGTGGTATGATAGGAAGTATTTGCCTAAAGTCTCCTCCAAGCACCACAGTTTTTCTGCCAAATGGTTTTCCTATAGCATTAGGATCATTTCTTCTAATGATGTCTCGTAATATTCTATCCAATGCTTCAAAACAATGCCTGTTTGCCATTGGTTCTTCATCCCATATTATCAAGGAGGCCTGAATTAAAAGTTCTACTAGTGATGTTCCTTGTTTAATGTTGCAAACTGAATCTTCAGTGATGGCAAGAGGGATTGCAAATTGTGAGTGAGCTGTTTTACCGTTGGGAAGTGATGCAATGCCGCTCAATGCAACAGTAAGAACAATCCTCCCTTCAGATCTTAATGATGCACATAATGTTTGCCATAAATATGTTTTTCCTAGTTCCTCCATATCCATAAACAAAATACAGCCCTCCCCGCACATTATGAACAGTGTCAATTATTGTATTGTAGATTGTACTCTGCTCTTCTGTTAAGTTTCAAAGAAAGACATGTAATTGCTCCTTAAGGACATTACGATCAAAATCTAACTCAGCTAGCACCAATTTATTGACCATTGATACATTTAATGATTGAGCTGGATAAGGCATTGTTGGATAATCTTGGAGACTTCTCCCATTAAGTTGTAGCGAATCTTCAATTTTATGTAAAGCATGGTATTGCAATTCAGCATCACTAAGAGAAAGTCTTGTTTGATCATAGAATGGCATCTAAATTGTAATGGTTGTTGAAATAACAGTTAATTAACAAAACAATATAAAATAACAATGAGATGTGAGAGAATAATTTTTTTTAAAAAAAGAGTGTAAATATAGGGGGACGCATACCAGGATGGCTTGTCAGCTGTTGTTGGCTATAAAGTATGTCCTCCGCTATTAATTTCCATGATTGCTACCACACAATTTCAGGGTGTGATATACAGTTACATAGTAACAATGTGCAAAACAAGTGACGAAGGTAATTTGGAGTGGCCCACTGATTTGCCTCCTGAATAGCATCAACGTACTCTTTGTCGTCCTCTAGTAACCCTAGGGCATAGCAAGCATCCCTAAATGTAGGGTGGAGGACATCATCAACAGTTCTCATTTCCTTAAAAGATCTTGGCCCTTTAACGGTTGCTAACAACATACGAAGATAAAAGGCTTCTCCAGTGCCAGGAGGAACATAGCATATTCTTCCAATAGAGAATCTTGTTTTTCTAAAGTCCCAATAATGACCAGATTTTTAAAAACACAAATTTGGTTGGGAATTCAGAGTATGTTAAAGCACATGCTTCATCATATTTTTCATTTGCCTTCATCCAAGCTTGGAACATTGTTGGTTTGCCTTCATTATGGTTAACCACATCATCAAGGTTAGCTTCACCTGCATAAATAATTGTTTGGTGATTTGGTAGGTGGAAGGAAAGTCTTTCAACTGATGGAGTTCTATAGTTTATATCAAAGCCAAAAATCCTCCAAACAGCTTCACATGGAGATAAATACCGAACATCATATTACATTTTAATTTCATCGTGAACAACTTCCCTCTCACCTCATGAAGACTCACCATAAAAGGCTATGGTAGCTCGATTATGATCCTTACTCACATATTTGAACAAATACCTAATTGATTTCCCATGTTTACATCTCTTAACATTTAAATGAGCCTGATATTTTAACAGCAATGTAGGGTTGTAAGGAATCACACTCCTATTATCTAATGGAACTCCATTTTTCAAAATATACTGACCATTGTTTGGTCTTTTATAACGGCGATCCCCATCTTCATGAATGATCGTGCTGGAGTTAAAAGGCTTTGGATAGTATTTGGAACACTTGCCATTAACCATGCATGGAGATTTTGGGTTAGCTAAACCATATGGTCCATGCATCATGTAGTTACTAACAGCTTCAAACAATTTTGGCTGTTCATTTTTATCCGGTATTTCAGCACTAATGACTCGGTCAATTTCTTGAGGAGAATCAAGATGGGATTGGTTTGCTAGAAACAAAATGATGTGAGCATAGGGAAGGCCTCTCTTTTGAAATTCAATTGTATACAATGTTGTAAAAAATTTAGCAACATATGAGAAAGATGAACAACTGTAATATAATTTTGAACTACCTGACTATTACTCATTTGTGAAAAACAATAATATAAAGAAGATTATAAGATATAGTTAATTTAATAATATGCAAACTGACCTACTTTAATAGGACCAAAAATATCACCCTTCTTCAAATCTTGCATGAGCTGCTCCAATTTCATCTTGAAAACTCTTGTTAGAAAATCTAGATGGTCTTCAAGTCGTAAATCTTCTTCTTCTAAAGCTATTATTATTTATGGCCATTTTGGGTTGCAGGTAAATGTGATAAATAGTTGAGGATGACTAGCCCAATTGCAAATTGCTATTGCATCTTGATAATTATTCATGATGTAACGTGCTCCTGCAGTAAATGATAAAGGAAGGATGATCCTTTTTCCTCTTGCAGCTGCGTCAGTCTCACCCAACAACAAAGCATCTGTTAACCCTTTATACATTTCTAATCATAGTTGTTGTTGATTATTCCTTATGAAGGTTAGCTTGTATGATTCTATCATTGTATATGCATCAACAACAAATTGTTGGAAAAGTTTCCCACCGTGTAATATTGAAGAATATTCAGTATTCCTGTCCTGTATCATATAAGCAAAATACTCAAGTATAGAAACATAGGTAATCTTGGCTACTGGTGCCTCTCCTCTTACCATATGAGGTATTTTTTCATCATACCCCCCTTCACCATACGGAAATAACAATGGATACTGTAAAGGCAGAAAGTCATGATGATTTTCATGTATCCTATGTAATAATCCTGTCTTGTATTGAACGATGATATCTTGACCGTATTCAGTAGATCCAATATCTCCTACAATTAAAGCAGCTATCTCATTTTCAGAGGTTGGCATATCATATTGACGGACATTTCTCCCACGCATATGCATAAGTCTAATTTTGATAGTTTGTCCCTCATGAGCATGAATATGATCACGAGCCTGACAGAATACTTTTACTAACTTATTGTGCTCATCTAGCATATTCTTTAGCATCTATACAAGAGAAATATCCACTGATGATGATGTGCTACTATCTCCACTGAAAAGTAAATAGTGATAATTAGGAAAAAGGAACAAATGATTTAACATGTGTGTAATAAGGACAAACAATAAGCAAGTAATATAAGTTGATCAAATCATACTATTTGTACCTTGTTGCAGAAATTCTGTTGGCAACTTCATTGGATGTATCATATATGTACAACTGAGCAAATTTTGGAGTAGCTCCATCTGTAGGGAGTATACTACCAATCAAATGCATATTTTAACCACTCAGCTTATACACATAAGGTGCACGTCCATCATTAACATTTCTATCTATTTTTCCACCCATAGATGTAAAAGCAAGCATCATATTATATGTCCTAACATGCATACGAAAATGATTGTTTTGTGGGTGATGTCCAGCTAATAAGTTGGACAACTGAACTGGTGGATCTTGAAAAGTAGGAAGCTGTACTTTGCCCTGAAGGCAACACATGCCAAATCTTGGTGGATTCTCATTTTGGTGTTTTCTAAGTCGTTCATCATACCACATCTTTGCACCACAATCAGGACATATGTAAATACGGTCACCAAGATCTTCATAAATTGGTAACTCTACAGGTAGTAGTAATTCATTATCATATAAATTACATAGGAAAAATTCTTCACCTAAAATATTTAATTTAGTTAAATTGAAAAAAATGACATATTTGGTGTATATAGTACCTTGATTGTTACCAGCTGAGCCTCCAAATAGCATAATGTTTTGGCATGTATTTTCTTTATATGAATGTTGATGGAGGTGGGAATTTTTCCTGCGATGGATATGAAGCCGTTCTAATCTTGATGCAGCGGGATTAATGTTGTCTATTGACCATGTGTGGGGAGTACCAGAAAGATTTGCCATTGATATTATGATTGAGTTAGGCAAAAGCAGACAAAGAAGTAGTAGATGTGAGAAAGTTACATACTACTGAAATATATGATTGATATATATGGCAACAGGGATCGCAAATTATGAGTGAGCTGTTTACTGTTGGGTAATAAAAGTGATGCAATGCCATATATAAACAAAAGTGAATAACTCAATAACATTTGTAATATACACTACCGAAATACTATTACTTGTGAAATTATCCACCTCAATACAAGAGGCAATGGGAAATGAACTATTATCGGAATTCAATCATCAATATCACAGCTAAGATAATCTACGTTCAAAATGCAAATATTCGATATAAGTATTTTACAATTAAACCCTTACATTCATGTTGAATAGGTGAACGCTAAAGTTAAATTTGACTCGTGTAATCATCAAATGAATTATTATAAGTTTTCATATGCCATCCCTTTGGAAAATTGATATTTTGTCATACATATTCAAAATAAATTGAAATTAAAATTTGTACAGTTTGAAATAATTAAATAATGTGTGTTGAATTGAATTTTATTTAAAAATAAAATAATGTGGTGTAGTATAAATAATAGAAATTCATGTTATCTTAACAAAATAAAACAATCTAACGAACTATGATTTTTTTAATGAAAAAAATGCTAGACACAACTGTTTGGCCAGAAGGTGTGGATAACTTAAAAAAAAAAAATTCCAATGTTATTAGTCTTATAACTAATACTACTTCCAATAACTCACAATCAAAATAAATAATATTTAGTGTCATTATTTCTTGTTGGGAATAAGGCCTATATAAAATTGTAATATACTAATTATCAAGATATTGGCTTTACATAATAGTTCTCAAGCTAGAAAAACAAAGTGAATAACTCAATAACATTTGCAACATATGAGAGCGAGGCAACATTTAATCAAGGAGAACTTTATCTAATACAATAGTTATCATCAGCATAATGCGCACATTAAAGTATTAATAAACAATTCAGTTTCAAACACGTACGGTTAGTGATTGTGGTCATTGCAGCTCGAGAAGGAATGGTTCTTGCTTTCTTGAGACGTGGAGATTCCAGGCATGTATTTGAATTTTCTGTAAAAACTTTGTATTAGATTATATTGGAATGGAAGTTTATAATGAATGTATAGTAGTGTTACCCTTATCCAAATTATATGCGTCATTGTTAAAGTTAGAACGTCTCTCTCTTTTCCTTCTGAGTATATGAAGTCGACGAGCCCACGCTACAGCACAAGAATCTCCTAACAAAGTTAAGTATACATGATTAGAAGGTGGGAAAAGCATCAAACCTTATTAACTAAACTAAGGATCACGTGCAATATATTGTATATAACTCTAGCGACACCTTAATTATTTGAGAAAGTTAGGACTACATATGTATATAAAAAATAAAATGCGTGAA